TTTTAAAAAAATTACTATGTGCCCAACTGTGTGATTATATGGAAGGATGACTGTAGTTAAATTTTTTTTAAAAAAAACAAAGTTACTAAGTTTAAATGAATTAAATTATTTTCATATAAGTATTTTACAGTACTAATAATCTGTTTTGCAAAGCATAACTTATTATTCTAATTGATTTTGTAAAATTTTGTTTTAAATATTAACAATGTGTTCTATCAAGTGTGTATTCATGAACATATATTATTTCATTTATGTTTTGTTTAATAATCATTATAAATTTTAAAATATTTTCATGCAAGTCCAACTCTTTGCATTGTTTCAGCTAAATAGTAAACATATTAAAATATTTGTTAAATATAAGTTCTATAATAGTTGATGATTTTTTTTACTATACAGTAATCTGAAACTTACATCATTAATAAAATCCTTCATATATATTTATGAAAAAATCAAGTCTTCTTAAAACTATAGTTTTATTGTATTTTTTTGAAAAACCTAAATATTATTATACCATCTGTCTCAAGTTTTTCAAAGTAATATAAAAGAAATGTATTATGATATTGTTCAGAATTGTCTGTCCAGCTTTTCATTTTAAAATGCATTTTATTCTTTAACTTTTGAATCTTGTTTAAATATATTACTGATTAAGAGAAGCTGAATTATAGTTGTACAATTTTTATTGTTGTCAAATGTTATTGTTGTAATATAATACAGTAAAACGTCAATAAGTGCATGTTCTTGGGACTGAACTTTAACAACTGCACTTAGAAAACAATAAGAAAAAGTGCATTTATAAAGGTCATATATTTGTTTTGGCCAAATTTAAGCAAGTATTTATAGAGGATATGCACTTATAAAGGTTTATTATACTAAGATAATCATTGTTAATAAATTAAGGCCTCTACAATCGATTATGCCCAGTTTAATACATTAGAGTAAAATTTTAATTTGCAGAAGATTGCAAAACTGATTCCTCACCTGATGTGCAATTCATACAAAAAATTGTGCAATATTGCATCACTTTACTGTCAATGTTATAGATAGTGCTCTGAATCGGGTCAGGCTAACCTGAAACCTGCCCTGAAATTTTGAGTCAGGTCAGGTTCAGGTTAGAAATTTTTGATTTGAAAGTTTCAGTTCGGGTTTGGATAGGTTTTGGGTTGGGTTTGGGTTGGGTTTGGATTGAGAATTAACCTGAACTGAATCTGAACTGACCTGATCTGAAATTTTTTATTTGGTTAGTTTTTTTTTCTGCATTTTATAGTATTAGAATATATATAAAGAAAATTATTGACATATATTTAAACTAAATTGAATTTTGTATAAACTAAAAATAGTAATTATTTAATTAATCTGTGCATCATATTAACCTATATTATTATATAAATATTAATTTTGTTTTTATTATAATGTTAAATTTTTAAAGTTATTTTATATATTAAATAAACTTTTTAATCAAATTAAATTATTACAGAATTATTGCAAATATGTATTAAATTCTAATATTATTACTACATATTTAAATTGTTATTATATGAATTTTGATTAGATGGTTGGTAAAATAACTTTTGATCGAAGTTAGAGAAAATTTATAATTTATATTTTTATATTTGTACAGATTTTTTTAAAAACTTTGATCGAAAGTATCTTGACAACCATCTGATCAAATTCAATAAATTTTTTTTTATTTAAATTCTACAAGTCTGTATAATTCTAATAAAAAAAATCATTGAATTTGGTTAGGTAGTTGGTAAGATAACTTTGATCAAAGTTAGAGAAAACTTACTATTTATATTTTTTATAGATGTATATTTATAGATGTACAGATTTTTTTAAAAAACTTTAATTGAAGGTATCTTGACAATTATCTGATCAAATTTGATGATTTTTTTTTCATTTTAATTCTATATATCTATATAATTCTAATAAAAAAAATTATCAAATTTGATTAAATATTTATTAAAATATTTTTGATCAAAATTAAAAAATTTTATAATTATTATTATTTTATATTTAAATTATAAAAATATAAAAATTAATTTATATTTATAATAAATTTATTAATTTCTTAGAATTTGGAAATGGAATCTGAAGAAGAAAACATTTATTTAGATGAAAATTATATTATTGAAAATAATATTTCTGAAATTATTGATGATGATATTTCAGATAATATTAGTTCTAATCAAGAAAAAGATGAAATTGACTCTAATGAAGATAATATTAGTGAAAATGAAACTAATATTAGTCAAGAAAATGAAGAAAATAATATAGAAACAGATGATAAACCAAATTTTAGATCTATTGTTCATCAACATTTTACTTTAGATAAAAAAATTAAAAAATATAAATGTAATTATTGCAGGTAAATAATTAATTTTGTATTTAAAATTTTATAAAATATATTTAATTTTTACTAAAATATTTAATAATAATAATTTAGTCAAAAATATAAAATACCAGAAGATAAATCAACATCTACTTTAAAAAGACATCTTGAAAAAAAACATAAAAATATAATGACAACTGAAAAAATTATAGGAGCAATGGATAAATTTGTTAAAAAAGAAGAATTGGTAAATATTTTTGATATTAAAATAAAAAATTTATAATTATAAATTTATTAAAAAAATTAAATTATTATTTAAATAGATATTTACACAAGAAAATTGGTATAATGATTTAATTAATTGGATTATTTCTGATGATCAATCTTTTATTGTTGTAGAAAACAATTTTTTTTAAATTATGATTAAAAGACTTAATAATATAGTAAAAATTCCTTCAGCAGATACTATTTCTAACAAAATTATTAAACTTTATAATGATGAACAACTTAATTTGCAAAAAAAATTACAAGAAATACCAGGCAAAATTTCATATACTCTTGATACTTGGACTTCTAAAAACCAAAAATCTTTTATTGGAATAACAGCACATTGGATTTCAGAAGATTGGAAACTTCAACAATGTACTATTGAATTTTGTCATTTTGAAGGTTCTCATTCAGGCAAAAATTTAGCTGAAGTTTTTTTTAAAACATTAAAAAATAATAATCTTTTAACAAAAGTAACTTATTTTTATTATTTTTTATAAATAAAA